GCACTTGGTACTGTTGGCCAGTGTAGCTGAACGAGGGAAATGTCATTTGAGGTTAATGGGGAAAGACGGTGGGCTCCACTCAGGGGCCAGGCCCACCATGTGCAAAGCTGAATCTTTTGGGGAGTTGAGCTGATGACTCCAAGACTTTGCCATGCCCAGGGGCATCTGTGTCCCAGCTGTTCACCATACCCTCCGCCCATAGCTGCCCAGACCTCAAACCAAGGCTGCTAACCTCAGCCGGCCATGCCTCCTGCTCTGGAGCCTTTCCCTAAATCCCCTGATGCACCTCCCTCCCTGTGCCTCATATCCCCAATTGACAGCATTCTTCTCTCTGCTACCAGCTGGCTTGTTACGATGTAGATTAAAGGAGCTCCCCGGGGAATGTGCAATTCCACAGGGACATCTCCAGACACCTGCTTCCCCAGAGGGACAGGAGGCCAACAGAAGACAGTTTTCAATTCTATAAACAGATAATTGATCACCTGTGACAGTTGGGGCACTGCTGGGGTACCGGAAGGGAAACTGAGAGTAAGCCAGTCTCTCTCTTCCAAAGTTCCCAATCCAGGAGGGCAAAATGCACTCTCCCAAAGCAAACCTTGTGGACCTTCTGGATTGAAAATTAAATCGACAAAATACCAAGGCAGAGGTGGCCTCTTAGCGAGGCCTTGAAGGAAAAGGGACAAACCCAATGACAGGCAGAGGTGGGTTAGGGACCAGCCTGGCTGGTTACCCTCTTTCCTCAACCATCCAGGCAGGCCTTTTCCACTAACTACAACAGGAATAAAAATAGAAGCAGCTCCTAGTTAGTCATGGTTACCTACTCCAGCAGCCTCCCTCTCCTAGGTTGTGTTTACAATCTGCATGGGGTCACTGGGGTCACTGATAATCCCAACCAAGGACCCGGGGATTCTGTGTAACCTCCTTGTCCTGGTCTGAAGATAAGTCATTTCACCCTTTTGGAGCTCAGAGGGAGCCTCTGTGTAATGAAGACAAGACTCTGCCTTACGCAGCTACTGAGGTGCCAAGGAGACTGGGCAGTTTGTGATAAACCAAGATGAGCTGGTTAGCTGGGTCAACGGTGCATTTGGGTGTGAGCCAGGAATGCAGGGGGCAAGGGTCAATCTTTGAGAAGTAGGTGTGGTAAACTTGTGTCTGTTCCCAAAGCACGAGGCAACGTTCTCTAAATCCGCTCAGCAGCCTCAAAATTGGATGCCACGGGTCACAAGGGAGCCTGGGCGCAAGATGGGCGGACAGCTTGGTGTATCTCAGCTTCCTGCTGCGTTCAGACACGCCTGTAAACAGGTCCTCAGCATCAAAGGGCCTTCCCTAACCCAGTTTAGGGGCTGGGCTAGTGCCCCTCCCGCCACGCCCTCTGTCCAGCACTCCTCAGACTGTATTAGATGATGGATCAGCAGAAGATTAGGCTATTTAAGAGCAGAGGTGTGTTTTAGGTATCTGCTTTCCACTCAAGTATGCTTAGCACATGCAGTAAACCTCTAAATATTTGTCCAGTGGCCAAACAGATGCACAATCCTTCCAAGTTGCCAGCCCATCCAGAGTGCAGTTGTTTGCTCCCCTTACTCTGGCTTTGCAAATAAGAACCAAGAGTTTCCCAGCCTACACACGGTCTTGCTGTAAGTCCACTGCCGGGCAGTTACAATGACCTGAGTGGCCCCAGCATCAGCAACTTCCCCTGGTCTTCTTTGCTAGCGTAGCATAGGCCAGGAGATCATTTTTGGGTCCCTAAAGGCGCCCTTTCTGCCTGTAATTTAAGTAGACAAAGTCCATCATTCAGAGGCACCCAGGTAAGCAGATCACTCAAAAGGAAAAAGAAAAAAAAAAAAAAAAACAGCAGAAAAAATCCCCACCCCACAAGTAAACAGCCGAATGGCAGTTTGGGAAGGGCTTTCTGACACCTGCAGAGGCCCAGGATACAGGTTGCTCAGCCGGACCTCCTCGAAGGCCCTCCTACCAGTCCACAAGGCCCCTGCTGGGCTGTTTCCTCACTGGTCCCCATCCTCAGCCCCTCCCCCCTCACCCCCCATTCATGTTCCCCTAATTAGGCTCCTTTCTCCATACTCCTGAGTACCAGGTATAGAATCATCCGCTGGCCTGTGACTGTAGGCTGGCAGCCACGGGCAACTCCTTCTGAACCTTAGTTTCCTGTCTGTGATTCAGAAACCAAAACACCTCACGGGGTTATTCTGAGGATTAAATGAAATAAAATACAAAACTCTGGCACACAGTTGGATGTGTGCGTGTCCTGCTGCCTCCCCTTGGCAGTTCCCCCGTGTCCCTACACGTAAACCACCTCAGTCTGCCCCACCTGGCCTCACAGCAGCCAGACTCTCACTGGAAACAAAGGAAACTCCATCCCTCAGGGCGAAAGGGGAGGAGGAAGGATCTACGTTAATGGCCAGGGAAGGCTGACTGCCAGCTGGACAAGCTGGCGTGGGGGTGGGGGACAGGCAGCGGTCAGAAGGTGCAGCCCCTAGAGCAGAAGCTGGGTTTTTCTAGAACCAGCCACGTGACCTCTGGGCAAGTCTCTTTCCTTCTCTGTGCCTCGGTTTCCTCACCTATGAAACAGGGTCAACCTCTCTGTCCCAACTTCTTCACAGGGTCTTTGGGAAGAAGGGGCTGTGCAGACAGGCGGGACAGTGATTAAGGGTGGGGGCCTGGAGGTCCTGATACTTGGGTAGGCACAGACAGTGTCCAACACTGTTGCTTCCTTAGGGGTGGTCGCCTGCCTTGGGCCCAGTTTTAGGGTCCCCACACCAGGCCCCACACAGTACTCACCTCCCTCCACGACAGCTCTTTTTCCCTGCCAATCAAACCTCCTTGCTTTTTCGAAGCAAAAGCTCTCTTACCGAGAGACTGCCCATTCCATTTGACCCTCTCCCTTTCCAATTCTGCAATTCCCCTCTCTCAGGAAGCCTTCCCAGATTAGGCACATCCAGCCTTAAAAACTCTTTCCTTTCCAGCAGAGCCCTAGCATTTGTTAAGCCCTTGGAGGGTAAAGCCACACTGTATATCTTCTTCACGGCGTGTTAGTGCCTGGCACACAGTCGGCCCTCAGGAAATTACTGGTTAAACCTGTACTTATTGGATGGGTTCACAATTGTTCAAAGTTTCTGTTGTTAAATATTTAAAGAGTTAAAAATACCTCACTATGCAGGAGAGAGTCCTGTCATCCCACATGGGACTAGATGCCTCAGTGGCCAGGGGCCCTGTCTCCCCCTTCTTGTAACAGGGGTACACCACCTGCACTCCAGGTTGTGACCAGGCTAGCTTCATTCAAACCCCTTGCTTAATCGGACTGCACCATTATTTCAGACACTGGGGCAGAGTAGCACAATGGTTAAGAGCAAGGGCTTTGGAGTTTGGGTCCTGGCTCAGTCACTTGCTGGCTATGGGACCTCCGGCGAGAAACTTCTGAATCCTGATGTCTTTTTCTCCAAAAATAAGTAAAACACCTATTCACCCGGTTGTTGTGAAAAGCTAATGAGAAAATGCAGGTGAGTCATTAGCACAGTGGATGGCACATATTAAATGCTAAATAAATAGAGGCTTTGTTACCATGACATCATGAGACTTGACCCCTAACCCCAGCTGCAGCCTGTATTGCCGCCTACATCCTTTTTCCCTCTTCTGTGTCCAATCTTGCCTTTTCTTTTGCAGAACACAATATACAAAGAAAACTCAGTCAGACAGGGAGGAATTACAGAGAGGGAGGGTAGAAACGTGCACAGTGGAAAGTTAACCCTTCCTTCTGGTAGCCAATGTAGCCAACTACCTAGATCACCCCTTCCAGGAAGATGAGCCTGAACACTGGTCTTTCTAGCTCTATTTTCCCTCCTTAGGCCTCTTCAGCCTGGAGGGGAACCAGGACTCCAACCTCACTCATTGAGTGGAATTCGAGTGGTGAACCCAAGCCACTCCCGTTGTATATTCTGAACTGGGCACCAAAAGCTGCTGCTGTTTCTGAACAAATCTCAGTGTAGGGGAGCCAGAGTTAGCAAATAAAAGTACAAAACGTTCCCATTCTATTTGAAATTCAGATACACAACAAAGAACTTTTCAGTATCAGTATGTCTCACGTCATGTTTAGGATAAACTGATACTAAAAAGTTATGTGTTGTTTACTGAAAGTTCAGATGTAGTGGGGCATCCTATATTTGATCAGGAAGCTGCCCAGGACTCCTACCCAAAGGCATAAAGATGAAAGTCTTCAGCCTGCTCCACAGCGGACTGGCCTCACCAGCCACCCTGGAAACAGACCCTCCTTCCAACTCCCAATCAGGACAGATATGCTAAGTAGGAGCCCTTTCCTGAGCTGCGAGTCAGGTGACCTGCTGTGCCAAGGCGCCCAGCACAGGGCCAGGCACACAGTAGGTGCTCAATATTACCCCCGCCCCCCAAAGTCATTCATTCCAGGCAGCCGGGGCCTAGCACCCGGTCCAGGAGAGGCTGTGACTGTGAGGGCGCCAGGCCGGCTTTGACTACGGGAGGAGAGGGGTGGTCCAAAGAGCAGCATGGCAGAGGTGGGACCGGGAAGGTCACTGCCACCCACTCCCTGAAGTTGCTTTGACGATCACATGAGAAAGTGGCTCGGGATATGTTCTGTAAATCCCTGGGCAGCACCTAGGTTATTATCAAGACATTTGAGTGCTGCATTTTAACCACAGGGCCTCGGTCCCCGATCTTCCCCGGGGAGGAAGACTGGACAGGGAAGTTTCAGAAACACAGAGCAGGGCCAGCATCTCTGGACGCTGGAATACCGACGGTTGACATCTGTCCAGCGCCTTGTAATTTCCCAAACACGCTCCCAGCCATTCGCTCTAGAGGCCTCACTGCAGCCCTATGAAGTAGGGGCGGGTTGGGGCCCAATTTCCAGAGGGTGTTCAGGGCAGCCTGCCCCGGGCGCTGTCTGGGAAGTGGGGCCTGGTCCAGGGGACTGGGGCCAAGGTCCCGGCGGTGAGAGGGCGAAGGCGGGGGCCTACCTTCTGGGCCTGTTGGATCATCTGCCTGACCACCTGCTTGAGGTGCGGCGCCTTCTCGTCCTTAGGGGGGTGGGTGAAGAGGGTGACCCGGCTCACGCCGCGGTAGAAACCAGTGTCCGTCCAGCCCAGGTCCAGCGGAGGCACCTCGGTGTCGGAACGGTCAGGCCAGTAGGCCAGGGACTCGCCGGACTCAGCAGGCGCCGGCGCGGGGGCCTTGGCCTTGGCCTTGCTCTTGCCCCGGGCGTTGGCGGCGGGGGCGGCGTCCTCATAGGGGCTCCAGGAGGCGCGCAGGGCCTGGCGCTCCGGGCTGGAGAGGAAGTCCCGCAGCTGCTGCTCCTTGAGCCGCTCGCGGTAGGCCTGCTCGCCGCCGCCCAGCAGCGCCTCCAGCGCGGCCCGCCGCCGCTCGCAGTAGTAGAAGGCGGCCTGCGCCTCGGTCACCTTCTCGTTCACGTGCGCCTCGTCCAGGCAGTTCAGCTGGGACTCGGCCATGGCGCCCCGGCCCCGGCTCCGGCTCTGGCCCTGGCCCCGCCGCTGTCCGACGTCCCACAGCCGCACCTGGAGCCGCCGAGGGGCGGGGCGCCTCATCTGGCCGCGAGCTCTGCCCCAGCCCGTCCCGCCCCGCCCCGCCGTCGGGGAGCGGCCAATCCGCGCGGGCGTGGCCGTCGGGCGGGGAGGGGCCGCCGCCTCCGCCAGGCTCGCCGGGACCTCTGGGCGGCCTGGCGGACGCGGTCGGGCCCGGGCCTGCAGGGCCCACCAGCCGGGGCTGGAATCCCTGAGGGGACGCCCCCTGGGGGCGGGGCCGTCGCAGACCCACGTGCGGGCTCCGGCCCCGACTCCTCTGCGGGGTAAAGGTTCGCTGTCTGGCCCTCGCTGCCATCCGCCCCCGCCGGCCGCGTCGCGGGTACGCGTTCATTTTCCGCGCACGTGGAGTGCACAGCACGTGTTCTGGCCCAGTCGCCCCTGGGGCGGGCGAGCTGACCCCTCCCCCGTCGAGGGTCGGGTGTTGGTCGGGGGTCTGCTGCAGGACGGGATTGTGACGGCTGAGGAGCGGGCAATGGGGGTGCAAAAGCGAAATGCTAATGACAGCTCGAGCTCCCCACCCTTGCGTCCCAGTTCTGAGATCAGAGGTCTCCTGGACTGGCAGTCCAACACCTTCACTATAAAAATTTCTTTTAAAAAATAGCCATCCAAACAGAAATGATGTAAAGAGCAGCAGCGGAATTCCCCCGCCCCCACTTTAATTTGAAGTAGGGTGTGTGGTATCTGTGTGTGTGTTTGGGCAAGATAGGCTGCCAGAGATGTGATTACTATATTAGTGATTCAAAATATATGTTTGAGCTCAAGGAAGGAAACCGCACGTGCGTGCACACCACACACACACACACACACAGCAGCAGCAGCAGCAGCAGCAGCGGTGGCAGCAGCTCTGCTGTTTCCCATCGGATTAAATACAATCGTCTTAGTCATTAACATATTATGTTGTTCATGCACTGCTGTACAATTTGATTCTCCACATTCAAAATATTTTCAGATCATAACAACTAAAGGTTCACATTTCTCTCATTTTATAGCGCAGCATCTCAGAGCTGGAAGGAGCTTTTGAAGCTCATCCAACCCCCTCATTTTACAGATGAGGAAATTGAGGCCTAGAAACGTGTGCGTTGCCCAGGTCTCCTGTGAAAGAGGCGGAGCGTGGGGGCTGCTGGGCTTTCTATGTCTTGGAGGTCTTTCCCTGACATCACGGCCGCCTTTACCATTTCTCCTTTTCTTGTGAAACGACAGGTTATTGGGGACCTGGTTTTCACCCCCAGGGGATTTGAAAAGGTCACTTACCATTTCTAGGCCTTCCTTTCATGGTCTGGAAAAATGAAAGTTAGATTTTCAAATGTCTGCACATTATTATTATTATTTTACAATAATCAGTTCTGGCATCCTATGTCAGCCCAAAGATTGGGGGTGGTGAGCAGCAAGGTGTCTGTCACCTCACTTGTCCTTTATCCCTCTTGGGAACTGGAAAGCTTCACTCCTGGTAATGCTCCACTCAAGTATATATAGATAGATTATGTCCTTAGATGGGAGAACATTTAGTTTATTACCTAACGACTTGAGGCCCTACAAGATGCCAGACTCAATAGTTTGGAGACACACAGGAGCTCAGGCAGTAGGAGAGACTGGCAAACACAGAAGAGGATAGGAGCAATGAGTGGTTTTTGGTTTTTTGTTTGTTTGTTTTGTTTTGTTTTACTTTGTTTTGTTTGAGACAGAGTCTCACTCTGTCAACCAGGCTACAGTGCAGGGGCACAATCTTGGCTCACTGCAACCTCTGCCCCCTGGGTTCAAGCAATTCTTCTGTCTCAGCCTCCGAGTTACTGGGATTACAGGCACCTGCCACTGTGCCCGGCTAATTTTTGTATTTTTAGTAGAGACAGGGTTTCACCATTTTGACTAGGCTGGTCTTGAACTCTTGACCTTGTGATCCACTCGCCTTGGCCTCCCAGAGTGCTGGGATTACAGGCATGAGCCACCACGCCTGGCCCCAGAGTGTTTTCATAAACACAGTCAGAAATGCTTTCGGAGCAAATGGGCTCAACAAACATTTACTCAATGTCTACTATGTGCCTGGTACACAGTTTGTGCCAGTGTACATTTCTTAAAGAATTGGAGCCAAGAGAAAGGTATGTGGAGGGAGCTTATGGGAATATGAAGGAAGAAACAATCTGCCGAGTGGGAAGTGGGTAAGAAGGGCTTTGCCCAGCAAGAAGGGATTTCAAGTGGAGCCTAAAAGGAGGAGAGGAATTCAAGGTGGAGAAAGGGAATGAAGACATTACAGATGGAGGGACTTGAGACTGGGTTTAGTCAGAGCATTATGCTGGCATCAGGCTTATGTGGGCTCAGTTACTTCAAGATGCCTTTTAGAGCCTTAGTCTCCTCATCTGCGAAACGGGATAATAATGCTGAACTCTCCTGACCTCCCAGATTGGTGTAGGGATTAAACGAGAACACTTGTTTGACTTCATTAGTATTCGTGTCTCCCTGGTAGAAAGTGGTTTACAACAGTGCTTCTAAAATTTTACTGTGCAGCCAGGGGGCTTGTTAAAATGTAGATTCTGATTCAGTAGGTCTGGGATGAGGCCTGAGACGCTGCATTTCTAGCAAGCCCCCAGGTAATGCTAGGAGTGCTGGTCCACTGACCGAACTTTGCGTGGCAAGGATATCAGAGACGGTAAATAACAGCGTGAACTTCCATATCACAGAGTCCTGGGAATGAGTCCAGCTTTCCTAAAATTAGCTGTGTGTCACCAGGAAAGTTATTTTTATTTTCTGGGCCTTTGCCTTATCATCAGTGAAATATGTGCAATAAGTCCCACCTCAGCTGGGTGCAGTGATGGGCCAGTAGTCCTGGCTACATGGGAGGCTAAGGCAAGAGGATCCCTCAAGCCCAGGAGTTTGAGTTCAGCCTGGGCAACATAGTGACACCCTGTCTCTTAAAAATGAAGTCCAACCTCACTAGGTTGTTTGAGAAAGGAAACAAGTTAATGGATATAGACCACTTAGCAGAATGTCTGGCACAGGTAGCAGCCAGTAAAGGGCAGCTAGTGTTAAAGTGTGGGAAGATGGGACTGGAAAGAGGGAGGTATTGGACCAAATTGTGGATAACTCGAGTTTAGGTCTATCCAGTGGTTAAAGGGCATCAGTGAAGGTTGTTGAGACTGATATGGTCATTAAAAAAAATAGCAATTACTATGTGCTAATTATTTTATGGACACTTTAGATGAACCCTGTAATCCTATTAGAAAAATTGTTAGCTGGCTGGGCACGGTGGCTCACCCCTGTAATCCCAGCACTTTGGGAGGCTGAGGCGGGTGGATTACGAGGTCAGGAGATTGAGACCATCCTGGCTAACAAGGTGAAACCCTGTCTCTACTAAATATACAAAAAATTAGCCGGGTGTGGTGGTGGACGCCTGTAGTTCCAGCTACTAGGGAGGCTGAGGCAGGAGAATGGTGTGAACCCGGGAGGCGGAGCCTGCAATGAGCCGAGATCTCGTCACTGTACTCCAGCCCGGAGACAGAGCAAGACTCCGCCTCAAAAAAAAAAAAAAAAATTGTTAGCTGAGCTGAGTGACTCACACCTGTAATCCCACTGCTTATGAAGGCCAAGGTAGGAGGATCGCTTGAGCCCAGGAGTTTGAGGCTACAATGAGTTATGATTGCACCATTGCACTGCAGTCTGGGCAACAGAAGAAAAGGAGAAAAAATGTTATCCTCATTTCACCAGTGAGAAACCTGAAACACAGAGAGGTTCAGTAGCTACTCTAGGTCACCCAGCTAGTATGTAGAATAGGTAGAATTCAAACCTAGACCATCTGATTCCAGAGCGCGCCTACCTACCCATTCTGCTACACCACTTCAGTCGAGAATGTTAGAAAGAGACATTAGAAATAAAAAGGATCTCTCTTGTTTAATAATTAATCCAACCGATATTTGCTGAATGCGTAGCTCTGTGTTAAGAGTTAGAAACCATTCTTTATTTACCAAATCCTCATGGAGTCTTACCAAGTGCAAGGCCCATTTCCAAGTGCAGGCTCTGAGCAAAACCAAGTTCTCCCACCCAGAGATCACATTGAAACAGAATGATTAAGGCATGGTTTTTGCTCTCGAAGAGCACAAATATTATGTGATGTGATTTGCAGTTGGACAGAAGGTTAGAAGCAGAACAGAATATTTTAGTAACAATTCACATTGGAAAAAGTCTTTCCTAGATCTAACTAATATGAAAAAGTCTTTCCTGGATCTAACTAACATGATATTCACCTTTATGTACCGATGACTGATTTATTCAACCAACAGTTGGAGGCAGTTAATAGGTAAGCAGTACTAGACAACACGCTTGCCTCTGACAATAACACAGATAGATAACACGCTTGCCTCTGACAATAACACAGAGAGGAATCAGACATGACAGCTGACTGCCCTGGTGACTCTCTTAGTTTAGCTGGGAGTCAAATTCTCACAGCAGTCTTTACAAGGCAGGTTGATAAGTGATACCGTGTCATTCACAGAGAGGCTGCAGGCTGTGGAGGCCTTTTAATGTAAAATTCTCTAATTTGACCCATCCCCTTTTCCCCAAATCTGTTGAAGTATTCTGTGAAACGGATTATTGTGAGGCGTTACAGATGAATAAGCCGAGGCTTCAGGAGGGGAGACATCCAGTTTGAGATGATCCGCTGGCAACTGGAGATACTGGGATGCGTTTCCTCACAGCCTGATCCCCAGGCCTTCCACCCTCCGGCCCAGCGAAATACTCTGTGCAATGTGATTGAGTTGTTTTGTTTTTTTTTTTTTGAGACAGAGTTTCACTTTTGTGGCCCAGTCTGGAGTGCAATGGCGTGATCTCGGCTCACTGCAACCTCTGCCTTAATTCTCCGGCTGCAATTCTCCTGCTGTAGCCTCCCGAGTAGCTGGGACTATAGGCACGCGCCACCATGCCTGGCTAATTTTTGTATTTTTAGTAGAGATGGGGTTTCACTATGTTGGCCATTTCACTATGTTGGCCAGGCTAGTCTCGAACTCTTGA